CAGTTTCGGGTGCTTTCGGTGCAGGAGTACGACGACGACGGGCCGGGGGGTGATCCGTCCGAGGTCGGCGTGCCGTGCGATGAGGGCTCCATCATGGGGGCTTTATAAGGGTTTGTGCCGAGGTTTTAACGGAGATTCAGACAACGAGCACCCCTACTTTGCTACACCCCTTAGGAGGATCGTTTTTTATAAGGACCCCTGGAAGAGGTTCTCCCGAAAGAAGCCAGAGATGTATGGGTTACAAGAGCCACTGGAGTCAGTGGTCGCCCCTGATGCCCCGAAACCCTAACAAACCCTGAAGCCCCGAAGCTCTAAAATCCGAAGCCTTAAAACTCCTAAACTCTGGAACTCGAAACTGCCCCTGAAGCCCTTCCACACACCCTAAACGCACAAGGCCTTCGAACTCTAAACCCTAAGCCCTATAAACAGCCCTGCCTGACAGCCAACCCGTCCTTAGCAGTTGTACTTGGTGACATGCACCAAGTTTTATCTCAATAAGTTGGACCAGTATCGTTACAGACCTTGCCAGGCTTGTCCGAGTGTTAACGTCAAAAAAAGCCTTACAGACCCGGAAATCCGAAACCCCAGCAGCCCGAAACCCTCAAAGCCTAAACCCGCGATTCAAAACCCAAATCCCCGAAACCTGTAAACCCTAAACCCGAAACCTTGGCAGGACAGAAGTGAGCACTCCGTTAGCAGACCGAAGTCACATCAACCGACGGCTGAGGTGGGTCGCCACTAAACAGGGTTTAGGGCTTAGGTTTAGGAGTGGTTCAGGCTTAAGCCTTTTCATTGTTTAGAGTTCCATGGGGTACCACGTGTTTTTAGATAGGGGGGTGGCCACCCCTAGCCTTCCATAAGCCTTTTCGGTGGTGTGCGGTTCTACCGGGTTATGTGCGGGGCTTATATCGGAGTTTCCGAAAACAAGGGGTACCTTACTTTGGGGTCCTTTTTAATAAGGATCCTACTATTTAGGGTACTATATTAGGGTATGAGAGTTTACGAACTCGTAAACCAGGGTTAGGCACGCAGAGCTTAGCACAGGGAACACGAAGACACGATGGAGTCTAGTTTGTGGCTTGGGGTTCCTGGGGTAGCAGCAGTCCATCACATTAGAGAGAGTCCTGCTTCGAGAAGGATCTAGGGATTTGGGTCCCTAAACCCTAAACCCTAAACCCTAAACCCTAAAGCTACGATGCATCAAACCACAGTCGCGGAGCTGTGGGGGCGTCTGATCCTTCGGAGTTCGGAGTTTCACATCCAGCTGGATATCTGGATTGACAAGCTACGGGCCAGAGCTACGCCCTTGAAAGGTGATGATGGCTTAGGAGATGATGACAACAAGTGACACCTGCCATCAAGAGGCAGCGGATGAGGGACCCCCAAAAGCCTTGGCACCAAATCCGACATGCAAGAAGGGCACTCGACTCAGAGATCAGTCCTTAAACTTAGAACTTATCGGTAAAGAGCCCCCATGATCCAAACCCTAAGCTTATGGCTTTGTGAAGGCAACGGCCGACTCCTCCTTGGCTCTCGGCGCCGCGGGTGTCGTCGGGGCTGCGGGCGTCGTAGTTGCGACAGAGGCACGAGCACGGTTCAGGGTCTACTGTAGGAGACTGAATAGTTACCAATACTATTTTGGGGGATCCTTAACATAATTATACTATAAAGGAGCCCAAAACCCTATTCGAATTCTTAAGGCCCCTACATCATGTAATAGTACCGGGGCCTGAGTCATCACCAATACTATTCCTTGGAGTTCCGTGCTAGTCATAATTCTACTATAGCAGACACGACACCACAACCCTACCCTAGTTAGTGTACGGCCTTAAGGTTTTGTACTAGGGCTGTTGGAGCAACGGGCTGGCTACGACCTGATGGAGCAGATTCGCATGATTCAAGAACTCTTTTTCGTCGTCTGGCAGTCATATTGACAGGTCATCTTGAACGAGTAGCATGATATAGGGGCCTTAATAATTTCACCAGGGTTTTGGGGTTCCTTATTAAAAATATAGTATACTATACCCCCCAAACCCAATTCTGATTGTTAAGGCCCCTATGTTAAGCAACAGAACACAAGCGTGCAACAATGGAGGCAAGAGCAGCGCACAAGATCGTTCATGAACCGAATACAGCAACATCGCAAATACCACAGGGCTGATAAGGGAAACGTCTAGTCATGTGTGAGGATATAGGGTTTAGGGTAGAGGTCGATCGGATCTGGCTAGTCCTCAAGCCCAGTAGCAGACCAGGGTTTACTACTTGGTGTACACGGAATGACTAAAACTTCAACAAGATTAACACAGCAGCCTAAGACAGCCCGACATGCCCTTCTGTTGCCTTCTCGTCCAGGAACCCCTGAATGTCGCGTGCTCAGATGGCGCAGAAGCGCGCTTCTTTTCCCACGTATAGATAGGGTTTAGGGTTTAGGGTTTAGGGTATAGATACGAAGAGAACTACAACACCCTAGGCCTGCCCGCAACCGTACGCCTGGAAGGGCAGAGCCTCGTACTGCAAGCCAACACTGATCTTGCAGTCGCTCGATGCCCTAATGAAGCACTCCGCCCTAACGTAGGGGCTTAAATGATTACCAATGCTACTTTGCGGGTTCCTTATTATAGTTGCAGTATAATGTGCCCCAAGACCCTCTTCTAAACTTAAAGCCCCTATTTTCGAGATTTTCCAGACACCGACCTTTCAAACTTCGAGCAAAGACTCTTCAGCCCAAAGCCGCACCGATAGCCTCTGAACCTTGACAACCATGGGTTTCTATGTTGTCATTGTTTTAATCTCGCTACCTAAGAATAAGAATGGACACAAAGACCTCGTCTGGCAGAGTCCGAGTTGCGAAAGTGTAAGAACATTGCCTTTCGCCGCATGTACTTCGCCAAGATCGGTGGAAGCTCCGATCTCGGCTTTGCAACTATGTGCTAGCTCTTCGTGTCCCTGAGCTGTGGAGAAGTCACTATCTAGTACTTGATTTTGTTTCCGTTAGTCAGTTAGTTCCCAAACGCTGGCCGGAATGTGTTTGACATGGCCTTGTCCTACGGCCTGCGCGATAATCCTCCGGTGGCGCACTGGCGGATCCCTTACATCACTGAATAGCCCCTGCATGCAAGCACTTCATGGTAGACATCGGCCCCAGAGACGTTCAAGCATGGGTGAAGGATCCCTGGCAGCCCAATGACCTATCTAGTGGGTTAGTATTGCTTAGACACTACATAAACCTAGTGCCCGCAACGCTTGTAGCCTACTATACAGGTAACTGCTCTTCCGGGATGATTGGTGCCACTTTTCTGGGCATCGTCACTCTAGGGGCTCCGTATATAGCAAACCTGGCAAGCCGCCAAACAGCTTGTGTCTGGTTAGGGTGATTTCTAAACCCTAAACCCTAAACCCTAAACCCTAAACCAGCAGAAGCTTTCGAGCCTAGGTGAGAACCTACGCCCGGGCCTGAGGGGCATGTCTATTTCTGGGAGCCCATGGGTTTAGGGTTTAGGGTTTAGGGGTTAGGGGTTAGGGTTTAGGGGTTATGGCACATGGGATGACGTCGACGCTGTTTGGCAATTAAGCGGTGCTCCGGATTCGAGACTATTGGGCGGTCTCGTTCACCGGACTGCTCCGTCATTAAATCCCTTCCGTGCGAAACCGCGAAGAGTAGAAGAACCCCTTCCCAGCCCAATCGCTTACATACTGAGTAATGACATACTGCTTTACTAAGTACTACAGACGAGGTCAAACATTGGGACACTCTCTCCTTTCAAGATTCGGGCTTGTGCTTTCGTTGTGTATGCCGCCCTTCATGAACGAGACCTGAAACGATGGGTGTTCCTTCTAAGCTGGGCATGGTACCGCGAAGCATTACTCGTACAATTCGAGAACTAGCTCGAAACACACCCTACTCCCGAAAACCCCCAGGCTCCATGACGCAGATCCGAGCCTTCGAAGCGCCCGAAAGCTAAACTCGAGAAATCCTGCCCTCAACCTCAACTAAAGTGTCGAGCATGATGGTAGTCTGATCCTATGGGCCTATGGACTATAACAGTATACTTTCCTCGTGTTTCACTTGCAACAACAAAGCCGAAACCTTGAGTGGAGCTGCGGGATTTGGAGCTTTTGGTTTGACGTCGCGGTTTGGAGGTTTAGCCGCGGGTTGCAAGGCCTATGTGGTGAGTGGTTTAGACATTTAAGCCGCGGCATGTTTGGAATCATAGCCTTCCTGCAGACTACCTAAGAACGAACAGGAGTTTGGGTGCTGGCTTTTGCACGCCGTGTGCCTGCATCTTGCAGATGTTCCATCCAAGCCCGCCATGAGTGCCGTCTCCACATGCGATATGGCTTCATGTTCTTGCCAAACTTAGAGTAATCGGTTGAGTAGATTTGAGTATCAGACTATCAGATCTCTCAGCGAGTCATGTCATAATGTATAGTGCACAGACCCCGCACTCGCTAGCTGCCTGTCATATACAGAGATATATCCAGATCAGGCACATGGCACACGGTTCGCAGAAGTTGAGGATGCCCAGCTGTTCGAAGCTTACCTGGTTTGCGCTCCTGTCGGTTCAGACTGGACTGGGGGCTCTTTGTCCTGACATCTGCACGGCCACCATCGACAACTCCCCCTGGCCATGCAGGTTCGCGAACAATAGCTGCGTGATTCCGGTCAGCCCGAACGCAGCTCGCGAAAGTGCGGAAGACATCAATGTGCCAGTCACAGGGCCCTACAGTGGAGCACTGGGGGACCTCATGACTATGGTGGAGCCAGCATTGGAGCTTGCGGCTCAAGATATTGAGATGAGCAACTTTCTGCCGGGCTTTCGCCTTAAAGTCCATCTCGTTGATTCCAAGTGCACCAAGCCGGATGCCACCTCTGCAGTGTTCGCGTCATGCTCCACAGCAGTCTCAAGAAATGAAGCACTTCTAGTAGTTCCTGACGGGGACGACTGATTCTAAGCCCTCCAAGCCCGCATACAGTCTCAGGACCCAAGAAGCACATCATCATGGGGGACTCTTGCAGCGCTGCCTGCGAGTCCGTCAATGATGCCGCCCGGTTCTTTAACGTGTTGCAGGTGGCACCGGGATGTGTTTCCACGACGCTCAGTGCCTGGAGTTGCAGCTGGCTTGTGCTTTAAATTCGTGCAAAGAAACTACCAGCATCCCGAAACCATAAGCTCGTTTATATCGACATGACCCGACTCAGGTGATGCAAACCGATATCCTTACTTCACTCGCATGGCACCCTCAACACGGTTCAATGTTGTGGCCATCTATGAGTTCATGAAATTGCTTGGATTTAAGAGAGTCGGCGTGCTATATGGCTACAGAAGCATCAACAACATGATCAAGGACATGTTCCTTGAGATGGTAGAGGCAGATCTTCGGACAGGTGGCTATTCTTGGACCATCCTCTTGACAAGGCAAGTCAGCAATCGTGCAGATGCAGGCAGTGCTGTGGAGTTCATGAAAATGCGAGATTCTCGGGTCAATTTCATAGCACTGCACCCTGGACGGTTTCAGTATGCTACGTTTATCAGGGAAATCTTCTCTGCCTGCATTTCCATCTGCACATGGTGATGACTTCGCATCCGAGCAGTCAGCCCGAAATCCCAAGCCTCCCAACCTTGAGTGAATCTGAGTGTCAGAGAACAGTCAAGGTACGAGGACTTGGGCGCTGTGCTGCTTTGCGAGGCCTTTTCGCACGGCGTCGTGCCGCCAGATGTCAGCTGGATGGTCGCTTCTGGGTGGTGGAACACGAATTACATTACGTTGCTTGCGCAGTTCCTCGACGGTTTCATAAGCCCAAGCGGAACACACAGAATACCCATTCATGAAGGAGCATGCCGCGAGTAGGGCTTTGCTTGCTTTAGTTTAACATCTCAAATCAGAATATAGGGGCCTAAATAATTATCTAGGGGGGCTCCTTATTATGATTATAGTATAATGGGCCCCAAAAGCTTGTTCTAATTGTTAAGGCCCCATATCATGGAACCCTTATAGTAACCCTGTTAAGGAAGCCTGCAAAGGAACCCTGTTCTAATTATTAAGGCCCGTTTACTATGGGTGCCATCATGCTGAGACCCGCTCTGTCACAACAAGAGGCGGAATTCAACTCCTCGTCCTACTGCTGATGATTTTGTAAGTACTGCATTACCTTATAAGGACCCTAAGCCCTAAGCTATGGGAATTATGGTATACTCCTTCTGATGGGTAATGTTCATTTATATCATGAGCCGTAGTTAGGAACCACTGGGAGAACTGTCTGACCTCCTATGCCCTGAACCGCATAACCCTGAACGTCCGGTTTAATATAGAAGCTAAATAACTACCAATATTACTGTAAGGGCTCTTTATTATAATGATACTATAAAGGAACCCAAAACCTTGTTCTAATTATTAAGGCCCCTGCATCAGGGTTTAGGGTTTACGGGGTGGAAACCCAAGTTGCGCCGGTTTAAGGGACGTTTGCCATGAGGCTCCATGTATCTATGTAGCATTAGACTTTGACATGAAAGGACTGATGCAGGGACCCCTTTTAGGCCTAAGTACATATTAAATATAATTAATGTACATGGGAGTTTCCGAAAATAGGGGACCCTAATATAGTACCCTAAATAATAGGATCCTTATTATAAGGACCCCAAAATAAGGTACCCTAATTTTCGGAAACTCCCACATGGAGCCCTTGGATTCTCAACAGGGTCGCCTGGCCCGGTTCCGTGTTGGATGGGGGAGGTTTCTCTCGAACTTGGCCCCGCAGCATCCTTGACTTTTTATACCTGCGTTGTTAGGGTTTAGGGTTTAGGGTTTAGGGTTTAGGGTTTAGGCTTTGTCGGAGCACTTTGAGCTAGGTTTTTGTCACGTCGCCTATGGCTGATTGGGTTTTCATGTTCCACCAAGGACTTCCGACTGTCCCTGCAGCAGCCAGGAGCCAGACAATGGCGGTGGATTGAGGGTCGTTGGCATTGTTGTTAGTAGTATTGCAACTATCATTGCTACCCCTATTACTATGAATATTACTACTTCTACTACTCCGACTACTTCCGCTACTACTACGACTATAATTTTAATATGTGGTTATCATCATGAAGGAAATTTCTGACTGGGAGCTTGGTGGGGTTTGGACTAGGGCCTTGAGTTGCAGCCTGTGATGGCGTTCCCTCTGACCGCCATCCTTGTTGTAGTCTCTTGTGCACTGACAAGTTCGGATGTAAGTAGGCCCGTTGAAGTACTCAGTTTGCCTCCGAAGGGCGCCGGGTAGGTCCTAGCGCTCGATATCCCAACTGAGCATACCAAGAGGTGTGGTCGGATCAGACTTGGCTTAGGAGGTCAGCTGACTTCCGGATCGGCGAAGGCCTGACCTAGAAGACGTTATGCCGAATCCGAAGGCTCTCCTTTTCTCGGCCCCTACCCCATCATTCCCTTATAGGGTTTTGTGCCTAGGGTTGAAAACATCCTTACAGTGGCCCATGCAGCCAAAGCTCCGGTGGACGTCTCGAACATTAGCAGGCCTGAAGCTGCAACTGCAACACTTTTAGCCACAACCATCTTCCTAAACTCAGAAATAAACTCAGAAAAGCGATGCTTCAAATCCAAAGTCCTGGCTTCAGGCTGGCAGACTGACACAAGGCTCCAACCCGGAACCCTAAGTCCTGAACCCTAGACCTCACCCTAAATCCCAGCACCCCACCACCTCATCAACAGAAGGATAAATCTTGAACCCAATCCCCCCCCCC